AGGCTGGAGGCTGGATTGCTGAGGTTATCCTGGGGTTTAGCCCTGAGTGGGGCCCTGTTCCACAGGGGGTGTGTGTCTGTTGGGGGGTCTGGTGCCACGGGGCTGGGGAAGCTGCCAGTCCTCACCACTCAGCCCCCAAAGCTGGAAGAGGAGCCAAGAGATGTGGCCAAGCTCTTTTTCCCTGCCCCATGTTCCCTGTATGTAATGGTCCATCAGGATTATTTGCACTGCCCGTGCAGCTGGGAGGCAAAAAGAGGTGTCTGGGCCAAGCAGCCCTCCTTACTTCATTTTCAACTGTTTGCAAAGCCCCTGATCAGACGACCCAGATGGTGCTAAATGGCCATGAAGGACCATTAGACAGTGGGTCATTGTCGTGCTCCTTGAGTTAGATAATTGTGATGGGCCTGAACTAATGAATTTCTACCCAAAAAAGTAGCACTGAATCATGGTCCTTTGGCAACGCTGGTGAGAAGGAGTTGTAATCGAGTTTTGGGTTTATCCAGCCTGCACAAACAGGGATCTATCTCTGCAGGAGCCGCACACTTCCATGGCCATAAAACAGGGGAGCAGGAAAAGCCAGGCAGAGGCTCAGTCAGGGTGGATCTCCCTCATCCCGCGGGGCAGGAGAGCCCTGGGACACTCCAGCAGCTCCTTTGTGCCCTGGGCCTGTCCTGCCTCCCCTCTGGAATGCCCAGATTTGGGAATGGGCCCAGGCCAGGCATCCTGCAGGAGGAGAGGCCTCTGGAGCTGCGCTCGTGCCATGCCAGCCGCGTTTCCTCCATCCCTCCTTTGGCTCCAGCTGCCACCTCCGAGGACTTCCCTGCTTTTCTCATCACCCCCTTCTCAGCACCAACCTTCCAGGAAGCCAGGGGCCTTTTCCAGTGTCCTGACTTGCTGGCAAAGCTTCTCTCTGCAGGGATTTCTTCTTTGTTGCCTCGTCCTGGGGGTGTCGAGCTTTGACAGAGCTGGAGACAGGGAAATGTGATCCCGTTTCCCCAGCAGAGCTTGGACACCCTGCCAGATTAGGTACATCCTGAGCTGCTCCTGCATCCAAAAAGGTGAAGGAACAGGAGAAAAGAGTGATTACAGACACATTTCTATGTGAGAAGAGACAGGAAATGTTAGGACTGTTTAGTCTGGAGGGGAGGCTGGTCTGTGGTGGCACGAGAACAGCCTGTGAGCCCTGCAGCACTGACAATCCTCTGGTTCCTCCATTTCTCGTCCCAAAAAAAGAAAAGGATGTGCAGAGGAGAGTGGATTCAGGGGAAACGTTCGCCCAGTGGGTCTCTGTGGAGAGATTTTAAGGGAAATCCTATCCTTTTGGGGAGAAATCCCTCCCTTTGACTGGGGGAAGGAGATACAAGAGCACACATCCCATTCATTGGGAGATGCCTAAAAATGCAAACCACCTCCAGAGCTGTGGGCTTCCCACAGGACATTGGGGAAAGCACCAGCCCCTCTTTGGTGTGGATTTCCCCTGGTGGTGCAGTGCCTGTTCCTGTGGGCAGCAGGACTCCAGCAGGCCCCACCAGGAGGGAGGCAGTGGCTTCCCCTCAGGGAAGGGGAAATATGAAGGTGAAAGTGGATGTTTTTCATGCCTGAAAGCCCCGTGCAGTGGAGAACAGCAGGGCCAAGGAAGTGAGTGTAGCTGGCAATTATACAGACATATAGTTTGGAGGAGTGTTTTGACTAACCTGATAATGCAGCATGAAATAGCATGGCTCTGATGTAAAGAAGCCCTGAGACCCCAGAGGCAGAGCCAAGATTTTCAGTGGTGACTGCCATCCCTCCCAGAGCCCACAGCCACGGGGTCATTCTGACTGGGTGGGACCCCAATGGGAGGCCCCTGGTCCAACCCCTGTCTCCAGGCAGGGATAACTCTGAAGTTACATCAGGTTGTTCAGGACTGTGTCCAGGATAAGGCTGGTTTCTCCAAGCATGGGATGCCCCTCCTTTCCTCCCTTGGTCCCAGTTCCATCATTTCTGAAGGGGAGAATGCTTTTGGCATATCTTCCAGCCGAGCCAGGACCATCCTGCCTGGTGCTGGGGACCCAAACAGGACCCAGGGCCCAAAGCTCTCTGCAGAGACCGAGGGTATCTCAGCACAGGGGAGATCTGGGGCGCTCAGGGACACAGAGGGTGGCAGGAGGGCTGGCAGGACACGCAGCTCCCAGACAAGGGCCAGCAGGAGCTCCGAGTCCTGCAGGACCCACAGCAGCGCGGCCCGACCCCGCTGGCTGCCGCTCCTGTCAGGGAGTTGGAGAGCGTGGAAAGGTCTTTTCCAGCCCAAACAATTCCAGGCTTCCGTGGCCACTCCGCAGCCGCAGCCACAGCCGCAGATGTGCGCACGGTGGGAGGCGGCAGTGCCGGGGCACGGTGTCGCTGTGTCCCCGCATCCACCCCGTCCAGCCTGCGCACGGACGGACGCACGGACGGACGCACGGACACGGACGCGCGGAGAGCGCGGCGCTGGCTCCTGCCCCGGGGCTGCTGATCCGATTAAAGGGGTTAATCCCAGCGGTGCCCGGCTCGCAGGGGAGGGCAGGCTCCTGGCGAGGCTGGGCATCGCTGGGATCACCGACACCGCCGCGGGGAGTGCTCAGGGAATGCTCGCTGCGTTCCCGCAGCTCCATCCCGCTCACAGCCTGGCCCTGTCGCTGTCGCAGCCCCGCGTCCCCAGCAGTGCTGGCTCCCAGCCCTGGGGAAATGGAGCTCCCTGGCCCCGCTGAGCCAAGGGGAGCCAGTGTCTGTCCCCTGCCATGCCCCCCTGCTCTGGGACAGGCCAGCAGAGCTGGGCGTGCCAGGGGAGCGTGGAAGAGCCACATCCCACAAAGGGCATTTTTGGAGTGAGGCAAAATGTGGTGAGGCAGCTCTGTGGTCACCTCAGAACCTGGGGCTCTCTAGAGGTGCAATGTGCCACACTCTGGGCAGGGACTGCTCAGGGAGGGAGGGGTGCCAGGGACCACATCCACGGACTCACAGAGTTGTGATTGAATTGTTCACACTGGGAAAGCCCCTGGTACCTTCCAGTCCAGCCTTTCCCCCAGCCCTGCCTAGGCCACCACCACTGTCCCATGTCCCCAAGTGCCACATGCACACAGCTTTCAGTCCCTGCAGGGATGGGGACTCACTGCTGCCCTGGGCCAGGGCTGGACAGCCCTTTTGGGGAGGGAGTTTTCACAATCTCCAACCTGAACCTCCTCTGGTGCAACCTGAGGGCATTTCCTCTTGTGCTGTCACTGTTCCCTAGGAGAAGAGGCCGAGCCCATGCAGGTTCCTGTGCTGCTGCCCACCAAAGGTCTTTCCTGGCCACCCAGGAGCATCCAGCAGCACCCGAACCCCCCTGGGCAGGGCAGAGGAGCTCTGTGTGTGGGCACACTCAGCTGGGTGTGCCCAGGAGGTCTGTCTGTGCCTGGGCTCAGTGTCCATGGCCCCAGGACAGCCTGTGTGGGCTCAGCACACTGTGAACACCTGTAGGAGCTTCACCTGGCCCAGGCAGAGCAGAATTCGTGCTGCTTCCCTCCCAGCCTTCCCCATGACCCCACCACTCCAAACACCTCCACTGCTGGCAAATGAGCACAAATTGGCCCCGGGCTCAGCTCCAGTTAGATCACACCAGGGCCATTAGGCTAATCAGGCTGCCGAGTGAGGGGTCAGAGCTCTGGCAGCATCCTCCCTCCCTCCCTGCACATAGCTCCAGCCAGGCAGGCAGCCCTGGGGCAAGGAGGTGGCTCGGCCCCTGTCCCTTCACCTCCCACCACGGGGAGCCCCCCTCATGCTCAAAGCCTCACAGGGGCTCTCTCCTGGATAAACCTGGGCAGCTCAGCCCCGCTGTGTGGCCCTGGGGAGCTCTGTTTGCAGCCCAGAGCTGTGAGCAGACCAGCAGCAAATGGGAAGGGGTGATGCCCTATGGATGAGCAAAGCTTCTGAGGGATTTCTCTGCATCCCAGCCCCGAGTGAATGCAGGGGAGCCAGACCCCACCAGGGCCTCTGAGCCTCCACACAGACCCCACTGGGAAAGGAGAACCAGCACAGGAAGATGAATCAAGAAGACTTTTAATCAGATTTGTCAGACAGAGTTGGATCTCCAAATAAATAGATTTATCAAAACAGAATAAAACAAGAACCCAGGGATAAATATATGTACCAAAACAACCTGAAAATCCCCCAAAGCTGTTTCCAGACAGGGGGAAGGGGATGCTGCTGCATGCCCTCCTCCCTGTGCTGCAGAAATGATCCTGTTTGCCCTCTGGGAGATGCCCCTCCTGTGAATACAGCCCGGTAGATATGATATAGGATAGATATAAATATATAGCACAATAATTGCTGAGCAGCGACCTTAGTGCAGAGTCCAGGGTCTCAGACCCTGCCAGCAGCTGGGTCCTCCCAAAACCTACATCTCCAAGTGACCTGCAAAGAGGGAAAGGAATCATCCCGGGGAAAAGAATCTTCTCCCTGCAAAGAGGGAAAAGAATCATCCCAGCTGGAAGAGAGGAGATTGTTCAAAGAACACTCCTTGGAGGGCATCCAGCCAAAGAAACTCCTTTGCAGCTCCCAGGGGCTCCAAGGAAAGAAGCAGGGATGACTTTTCTCCCTTTGCAGGTCATCCTTCCCCTGGTGAGAAGCACAGTCGTGTCCCGCTTTGCCGCGCTCCTCAGGAACGCCAGGGTGTCCGGGATGGATCCCACCTCCTCCTCCTCCTCCTCCTCCTCCTCCTCCTCCTCCTCCTCGTGTGGCACCAGGTCCCACCCTGCGGAGGGCCGTCTGTCCCTGCTCCCTGTGCTCATCCCACGCCTCTGGGGCAGCGGGAGGGAGGCACCTGCCCGGCGGTGGCTCCGATGGGTTGGGATTGGGATCGTTCTCTGGAGTCGCTGGAATTCCCACTAGTGTAACCTGTATTGCAGTGCCAGCCTACTGAGTAATGCAGCTCTGGAGTTGGTATATATGTGTATGTGTGTCTGTGTGTAGATAAATCGATAGCTAGAGGAAAGCTCTTGGCTTTACAACGTCTTTGTCTCCTTCTCTGGGCTCTCTGTCATCCTCAGCTCCGGCGTCTGCGCTCGGAAGATGTTCCAGTGACCTGGATCAGCAGGGACAGACAGACAGACATTAGCAGCAGCCTTGGGGCAGGTCATGGTCAGAGCAGCTCCTCAGGGATCCCAGCCACAGGTACTGCAATTAAAACGGGGCTCAGAGGGGCTCTCACCCTCGCAATGCAGCAACGGCACAGTCAATGGCACTTACAGTGCTTTTGGTGCAAAACACTCACTCAGTGTGAGAGGAAAAGGGGCTCAGGCTGAAACAGGGACAAACCTCCCTCTGCACCTCTTCAAAGGGTGCCTTGACGTGGTGGTAGGTCCATGTCCTCCCCAGCATGTCTCGGATTTGGGCTGACTTTCTGCCTCTCAGGGGGGGAAGCATTCTATGCTTCTGTCTCAGAAAGCCAAAAATTTCAGTTTCGTGGTCATTGGACAGGGATGGTTCTTTCCTCCCCCCCATTTATATTCATTTTTCTGTACTGCCTCAGCCTTGGTTCTTCATTCAGCAACCTATGGTAGGGGAAAATCCTGCTGCAGAAGGAATCCCTCTGAATCCCCCAAGGAGCTGCAGACTCCCAGCAAATCAAATGTGGAGCTGTGAAAGCCCCCCCAAACCAGGACAAAGTGTCCCAGTCCCTCTCCTTGCTCCCCAAAGAATCCCCAGGTGTGCAGGAGGTGGCTGGAGGTGTTTCCTTCCCCTCCAGGTGTTCTCTCCCCTCAGTGCAACCCCAGCAAAGATTATGCAGCCCCAGTGTCATCACCCCGGGGGTGGAGGGAATGTTTTCTGGCTGAATTAACCTTCTGCTGGGAAGAAATCGTGGGTCAGAGCTTTCCTAGAACTCGCAGCCACGGCAGCGGGATGGTTTCGCAACAGGGCTCTTTGTCAGGGGAAACTGAGGCGGGGAGAAGGAGGCACGGGCCAGAGACTCCACCAGGGTGTGAAGCACGGCCTGGCAGCAGGGACTGGACAATCCCCCGGGGTTTGTTTGGTCAAAAGACGCTGTCTCAAAGGGACTGGGGGTGAGAACAGCCCCTGGGGCACTGGGAGTGTTGGTGTGCTCCGAGTGACCGCTAACCCCGGGCTGCTGCACACTGCAGGCACGGCTCTGAGCCCAGCCTATCCCACTAAACCCCAGCCCAGCCGGCAGGGAGCAGCCAGGCATTCCCTCCACACAGGCATTCCTGCTCTTTGTCATGTTTACGCACGTCCCGGAACATCCTGAATGGTTTTAAAACATATTTCAACAGTTTAATTTTTTGCTAATCCCTTGCACCATTTTTTTCCCTCCCCCCCCATGCTCCCAGGAGCACCAGATGGATTAGATATAAAAATCAAACAGTTTTACGGGCTCTGGAGAGGCAAAACCTCTGGATTTCACAAGAGTGCAGCCACTTTTAGAAAGCTGGCTGCCCTTTCCTATGCCATAAAGTGAAAATGTGGCTGTAACCGGGAGTGTTGAGTGGGGTGTGAAGACAGGTCAGCCCCAGCACAGCCACACTTGCACAAGTGCTGTCCCCACGGCTCAGCTCCCACACCATGCTGGGATGCACACAGCCTTTTGGAAATCAGGAGCTTGTTTGGGGCAGGGAGTGCTGGAGGAGTGAGGAAAGGGGATTTTTCTCTCCCTACCTTCGTTTGTCCTGGTGATCAGCCTGAAGTTTTGTGCTTCTTGCTTGAATTCTTGCTTGCTGATCTTCTTGGTCTGGATCAGATGGAATATTCCTGCAGAGGGGGACACAGGGCATCAGATTCTGCAGTGCCCAGTTTCAGACTCACACAGGGTTGGGTTCTCTGTCCCCTTCTGACACTGCCTGCCCCAGGGCCCTGGCTTGGTGCAGGACCTGCTGCCAGAGCCTGGTGGGAGCTGGCAATGGAGCCAGGGCTGGCCAAGGACAGGAGACATCTCATTCAAGTATCAGATTAGATATTAGGGGGAAATTCTCCCCTGTGAGGCCCTGGCACAGGTTGCCCAGAGAAGCTGTGGCTGCCACAAAAGTGGGGAAGTGCTCAAGGCCAGGTTGAAGCAACCTGGGACAGTGGCATCCTGTCCACAGCAGGGGTGTGGAACAGGTTTGAAGCTCCCTTCCAACCCAAACCTTGCTGAGATTCTATGGTTCTATGAAAGCAGCCACTGCTTGTTGAATCAGGATGCTTCACCATGGAGCAGGTGAAAGCAATGGGATTTTGTTGCTCCAGAAAGCATCTTGCCCTGCAGGAGTTCCAATTTCCCCTATAAAGCATAAAAGAAATGAAGGTGAGAGCCAGGGGATGCTGGGGTCCCCTCTGCTCTGCTCACTCTCAAAACACCAGTGCTCCCCTCCATGCTCAGGTGATCTCCTTTCCTGGAAGCACCAAAGGTTTCCACCTCTTGGTCAGCAGTGCTGAAAGCGCTCCAGGACAGGAAAAAACACAAGTGACCTCAGCAGGGATTGATATTTCTGCCCCTGCCAGCAGTGACCCTCAGTGGAGCTGCTGACTCAGATGTCTGACCCCTGCAAGCCAGAACCTGTGTTTAGCAATGACAGTGCCCTTCCTGTGGGGTCAGGGCTTCTGGCATTCCTGCTCTCCTGCAAGGCATGACAAAGCAGGCAGGTATGCCTGGAATATCCTTCCCCACCTCTCACTCAGGAGCATCCAGCCTCTTGCTGCCAGCAGATGTGAGAGGCAACGTGGTCCCCCTTATTTGGTTAAGAGACTTTCCCTGATTCCCAGCAGCAATTACACATGAAAAGGGTATGTAATGAAGGGGAACTGCCTCACAAGCCATATAAATGAGATGTTATCAACTGTGGAAAATCAGTACAGGAAGTCAAAGGCAGAGAGAGAAATGGATGGATTTTTGCACTGTTACTTAGTCCGTTTAGTGGGTTGGGTAAAGAAGTCCTACCAGTAACAAAAGAAGACACTGGATGGAGATAATAAAACTGTTACTGACGCAAGAAAGGCACAAGTGTTCAATAAATTCTTCTGCTCTATAATTAGAAAGGAGCGGGAGGGTGTGCTTACAGTCCCGGGGCTGATGAAGCACTTTCCAGCACATTAGTAACCAAGAGGATAGTTTAAACAAGAGCTACAAGAGATAAACATCTTTTAATCAACCAACCTAGATGATGCTCTGATGCTCCCCAAGAGCTCTCAGAGAGCTGGCTGGGACCTTTGGCCCCCAGGAGGGTCATTCCCAACATCCCAGGAGCTGGGAGCAGCAGAGGAAGGTGGCAGGAACCAGGACAGCACACGTTAAGGACAGTCCCCCAGTGGAGAGGCGGGATGGATGGAGCTGGCACAGGGCAGTGCCATTTCCTGGCACACACGTCCCATCCAACAGGCAGGAGCACTCCTGGCAGCCCTTGGGATGGAGCGAGCTGCTGGGGCACTGCTCTTGGTGCTTTAAAGGGGATTTGTGAGAAAGATGGGCATGGACAGAGAGGACAACAGGTCAAAAACATCAGATTTCCAAAATGGCTGGTGATGTTCAGACCCCTAAAAAGGTGGGGAAGCCTGCACTGCAGCTCTCCTGGAGGGCATCTGTGTGCCACCAGCCAGCTGGGTAAAACCTTTGGCTGGAGTTGGCGCTGCTTTCTCCTCCAACTCCTGCTCCATGGAGGAAACCGTCCCAGCCCAGAAATAGATGAGGCCACGTAGGTATCATGAGCCCATACAAAGGCAATGGACCAGGTCCAGGTGTGACTTGCAGGCTCTTTGCTCCACACACGCTGCTCTGTTGGTGGAGCCATGGCCCACGGAGAGGTGGAATCCATATGTGAGTGAGCTCATGCTCTTTCCCAACAACAACACTGTGCTGTGCCAAGCAAAAGAGCTGTGTTGGCCTCGGGGACAAGGGCCTCCCCTGTCCCTGGCTGGCAGGGCTGGGGAGCTCCATGCAGACGGGAGCTGCTGGCCTCGGAAGGTGCCGGCAGGGTTTGGGTGCTGCCCCTGCCAAGGAGCCGGGGGAGGAAGCGGCGGGGCCCCGAGCTGTCCTCAGCCACAAGGTGCCATTGTGAGGGAGGCCCTGCTGGGGAGGGGCAGCACGGGCAGCTGGGAGCGTGGCAGGGGCAGGATGGGAACGCGGTGGCACCAGGGCTCCATCTCTGGGTGAATGCCTCAGGTGCTGTCCAGCCGTGCCCGAGGTCTCCCCAGGGAGTGATGTGAAACACGGGCACGCCAGGAGACCAGGATGGCTGCACAAGTCCAGCAGAGGCAGGGCAAGGGTCACTGCATCCACAGGAAAGGTACAACCCACCTGAAGCACTCAAATTCTTTGGGGTAGAGTGTGTCCAGTGGAAACTCAGGAATGGGGCACTGGGATGCTTCCCTGAGCCTCAGAGAGACACAGCACAAATATCTACTGCACCAGGTGTCCCCAGACTCCTCCCATCCACAGGAGCTGAAGGTGTGGGGAAAGAGCAAGAGATTGGAGCCTTTTGACAGCGTGTTTGCTGTGCCTTGACCTCCGGAGCACACACCAACAGCAAGGAGCATCCAAAGCCCCCCACCCAAAAAGTGGGCTGAGGACAATTGGTCCCCCTTGTGTGCACCTTTCAAACTGTAGTTGGACTGGGGTGTTAAAAGAAGAGTGAAAGCAAAACCACAGAGCCACCAGAACAATTCCTTGGTTTGTTTTCCACATGCATTTGGCACGGCAGCAGGGAGGTCTGGAGGAGCAGCCCCCGGGCCCTTGCCTTGGTTGCCCATGTGCTGTGCCCCCAGATGGTGTTGCAGCTCGTGGTGAGGATAGGACAGTGGGGCCAGAAGTGGTTTCCAGCCCTGGTCTACATGGAATGCAGGGAAAGGGTGTGAGATGGGGGAGTCAGGAAAGCCAGCCTGCTGTCAGCAGGTTTTGATCCACCACGCAAAGGGTGGAGCGCCGCCAGAAAAGCCAGAAAAACCGAACAAAGCTTGGAAAGCATCAGGTTTCCACACACACCTCCCGCTCTGCTGGCCGCTTTCACAATGGTGCTCACCTTTAATCAGCTTCCAGTTGTAGATTTCCACCTCCTCTGCCAGCTCCCTCTCGATGGCCACGGTCCTGAGGACGTCCTTGGAGGGCTCGGAGCGCGGCGGCACGAAGGCGTACACCAGGACACGGCTGGGGCCGCTGCCACACCGGGCGCTGCCCACCTCGTCCGTGGGTCTGACCCTGCTTTCTGAGCACAAACAGGGACACAGATCATTACAGGGGGCCAAGAAGGACCTATCCCAGCAGCCAGGTAATGGAAAAGGCATCTCGTTGGCTTCGGTGCCACGGGGCATAGTCCCACGATCCGAGCCCCGGCTCCGGGAGCAGCACCAAAGGAGAGGCTGATAAAGGAGCTGTGGACCTCCTCATTCCCATGTTTTTCATTACCCGTGACCCCAGCAGCCTCTGTGCCAGCAGGGATGGGGAAGGGGGGTTTTGTCCATCTGGATCCCCCATACTCCCTGCAGCGACCTCGATGCCACCACGGCCACAAAGCAGGGGCTGGATTCCCCACTTCCCATCTCGCTCCTGCTGGGGAGGAACATCAGGGGAGCCAAGGGATGGGCCCATAGCAGGGGAGCCTGGGCAATGTGCCCAGCTCAGCCCCTCAGGTGGGCTCAGCACCAGCCCCAGCACCCTCCCCACACAGGGTGCCACCACAGGGACATCCACCCTGGGTCCTACGTGACTTTTCCAGCATTCTTGGTAAAGAAGAGATGCTCATTTTCCCTTCTTTTTTTTTTCTTTTTTTTTCTTTTTTTTTTTAATGTATCTGGAGTAATTAAGAATGCCCTGTGGTTTTGGAAGGAGATTTATTGCCTTTGGTTGTGGTCCTTGGAGCGCAGAGGAGCCCAGCTCTGCTGAATTTATCCTTGTTCTCCCAGTCAGTTTGGATGCTGAAGCTTTTCACACTACTCGAAAGAAAGTTTGGCTATAAATAGATGCCTGGGGTTTATTTTAGCAAGACAGTTATTTTAGGCCTGATTCTGCTCTCCCCCAGGCTTTCTGGGGTGCTCCGGAGCTCTTCTTCTCTGAGATGGAAATCCCAGTTTAAAGGGAAGCAAAGCTTTTCAGCAGGCAGAGGACAGGAGCTCAGCTCTGCAGCTCAGCATGAGGAAGAGGAGGGTGAGCACAGCCCAGCACCCTCACCTGTCCCAGGGCCTTCACCCTCCCCTGCTCCAGGGCATTCCCAGTTGTTCAAGCTGGAAAAGCCCTTTGAGATCATGGAGTCCCTGATTAAAGCCCCACCTTCCCAGCAGGAAAGGAACCCCTGGAATTCAATGGGAATTTAAGAACCAAGGAGCTTTCCACCCCCACGGCATCAGGAGGAGGAGCAGGGACACTGAGGTGCTGGTCACCAGCTCTGCCCACAGCAGTGTCCCCCCATCCACACATCACATCACAGCAATTGCCAGGGTCAGGATCCCTTTGGAAAAATCACTTGGCATTCCTGAGTTAGTGGCACAAAGGAGGAAGATAAGGACTGCCACAGAAAGCGCCCGGAAAAGGACCTGGGCAAAGCCTGCAGGCGGTGAAGGAAAGGGCAAGGATGTAGCCTGGCTGAGCAGTGTGTGTGTGATCGCTGTCTGTGAGAGCTGGAAGGCAGGAGCACGACCATTCTGGCTGCATCAGGGAGGCTAATTGGAAATAAAGTGAAGTCTGAGCAGCAGACAGGAGACCCAAGCAGGGAAAGTTGTCGGATTTAAACCAGAGAGACCCACTGGAGTGGGAATGCAAGACTGAAAGGGCTCTGCTCAGTCATCACATCCCATTCCCACCAGGCACCACATCGTAAATCCTGCTCATAAACATATCAAAAACCTTATTAAAACAAGCTGAGCTTCTGCCCTTCGCTCCCCTGAGGAGGCCATCCCAGAACCTCTCCACTCAGGGCCTGGAAAACCTTGGAAATCTCAGCTCAGATGACTTTGCAGCCATTCCAAAACGTGGCAGTGCCCTTTGCTTGTTTTCCTGGGTGAGAAGCCCCTGGGAGATGTGGATCAGAACCTGGTGCCCCTCCAGGCAGGCCCAAAGACACCCAGGTACCTTTAGCCTCCCTGGGCAAGCAGTGGGTACTCCATCAGCTGAACATCTCCTGATAAATGCCAGCACAGAGAGGTGTCACCCACAAAACATCAAAACATCCTCCAGTGGGAGCAGCGGGAGCTGTCACACGCTGACACATCTGTGCCAGGCCTGTGGCTTAAGGCAAACAGCTTTCCAAAGACCAGGGAGCTGGGAGACCCAAAGCACACTGAACAGAAAGGGAAAAGAGGTCTTCTCCACCATGGATCACAGAGTCATGTAATTTGGAAAAGACTTTGGAGATCAAGTCCAACTGCTCCCCCAGCACTGCCAGGGCACCACTGGCCCATGTCCCCAAGTGTCCCAGAGCTTTTAAATCTCTCTGGGGATGGGGATTCACCACTGCCCTGGACAGCTGTGCCAGAGCTGGGCAACCTTTTGGGGAAGAAATTGTCTCTAAAATCCAATCCAAGCCTCTCCTGAGGCCGTTCCCTCTGCTCCTGTCCCTGTTCCCTGGAGCACAGCCCGATCCCCCGGCTGTGCCCTCCTGGCAGGAGCTGTGCAGAGCCACAAGGGCCCCCTGAGCCTCCTTTTCTCCAGGCTGAGCCCCTGCCCAGCTCCCTCAGCCTCTCCTGGGGCTCCAGCCCCTTTCCATGTCCCAGCTCCAGCCCAGTTTTACCTGGAGCACCCTAAAACCTCTGTGTTCAAGCTCCCCTCCCAGAGATGGGGGTTCCAATTCCCACAAACCATGAGTGCCACGGACAGCTCCTCTCCTGGGAAGTGCCCTCGCCCCTCCCTTCACACCTACACCTCAGCTGGCACGATTGAACCCTGGTTTTTGTGGACACGCAGACTGTGTGTCCTCTCCTCTGAAAGCTCCTTCCATCCGAGCACTCTCGGTCTGGAGCACAACTCCAGACCTCATCCTCCCAACAGATGAGGACAGATGACCTTGTGGGGGTCCTGGGGATCCTCCTTACCCTGGGAAAGTCCTGCTGCTCTCCAACCCAGCTGGACCTGTCTGCTGTGAATTCTAGCCACCAGCAACCTGAACCCCTACATCTCTCTCAGCCTGAGGCTTTAATCCAAGGTTGGGAAGGAGCTGGGAGGCAGCCGCAGGAGCAGGCAGGGTCCCACCTACCTGGACATTCTTTGCAGCATTTCCCATCTACTTTTTCAGGGTGCTGACAGGGGTACTCCTTGGGGCAGGTGACCTTGTGGCAGTCCTGGACGCCGTCCCTGCAGGTGCAGAGGATGCAGGGCAGCAGGCCGTAGAGCCGGAACACGGGGTGCCACACCTCCCCGTGCGAGTAGGTCTTCCCATTGTACACGCAGGCTGCAGGAGAGACACACAAAAGAGCTGTCTGTGCACATAAATCCTCCTCCTCCTCCTCCTCTTCGTCAGCCCGAGGCTTCGAGCAGGCCTTGGAGTATGGAGGACATGGCTGCTCCTGCTGCGTGGAGGAGCCAGCTCCTCTGGCAGCGTGGGACACCACAGAAGGTGGGATGGGACCAAAGGTGCCACAGGGACCCAGCAGGTGCCACAGGGACCCAGCAGGTGCCACCCAGCAGGTGCCACCCAGCAGGTGCCGTGGGGCAGAGGGAGCAGCACCAGGGGATGGCTGTGCCGGGTGTGACCGCCCTGCAGGGACAGGGGACCTCACCTGCCTGCCACCCTCTGGAGCCCAGGGTCCCTCCAGGCTGTGGCAGGGATGAAGCACAGTGAAGAGTGCCACCTGCTGACTCCTGCACGGAAATTTCTGGAGGTCCCACGGTTTCCTCCAGGCCTTCATCTCCAAGGCGCCTTCCGGAAGCACAATGGTGGGAGAGCGGCCAAGAGGAGAAAGGAGCTGTTCTTCCCCCCTCTGGATCAAGGGGCTTGGCTCCTCACCTCACTTCCCTACTCTGCTCCAGGAGGAACACCTGGGGAGCCCTGGGTCAGAGCCAGCCCTTGCACAAGGAGGAACATCCTGTCTTTGTGTGCCACTCTCCTGGAAGGTCCATGTGGAGTCTTCCAGCTGAGCTCCTTCCTTCCCAAGTCCCAGATCTCCAAACCATTCCAAGGACCAGCCTTCTCCCAACCCACTTTGGAGAGTGGCAGTCAGGAGACTGTGGGCAGGAGGACTGAAACACCTTGAGGCTGGCTGTGGAGCAGTGGGCAGAAGGACTTGCTGGTGGAAACCTGCCGCTGAGCCAGATCCCCCAAGAATTCCAAGCTCTGGAGAAGCCACTTTAAGTCCCTGCCCGGCCCCTCCATCCCTTACCTTTCTTGTGCTTCTCTTTCAAGACGATCTTCACAGTGGTGCCGCCTGCTCCCTTGGGTTTGAAGCTTCTGGGAATTAGCTCCAGGGAAGAGCTGAGGGCCGTGGACACGGTGGCTCCGGGGGCCTTCCTGCCCACCACCTCTCCCAAGCACTGGTCCTGGGAATGTCTCTGTGAGCAGCCAGGGAAAAAAAGGGGATTCAGGCTCCAGCAGTTGAGTTGTTCTCATTCCAAAGCATGCTGGAAAAATCCATGCAGTGTCCTGCACGCCTTCCCTCAGGAGTGCAAGGGGCAGAGACCACAGGGGTAAGCAATGGCCCACAAGCCTTACAAATCAGAGAAATATTAAGGCTGGAAAATTCCTCTGAGATCATGGAGCCCAACCATTCTCCCAGCACTGCCAAGGCCACCATTATCCCATATCCCCAGGTGCCACATCCACACAGCTTTTAAATCCCTCAGGGGATGGGGATGCCAGGCAGCTGTGCCAGGGCTGGACAAACTTTTGAGGGAAGAAACTTCCCCAGTATCCAACCTGAACCTGCCCTGGCCCAGCCTGAGGCCGTTCCCTCTCCTCCTGTCCCTGTTCCCCCCGGCTGTCCCCTCCTGTCAGGAGATGTGCAGAGCCACAAGGTCCCTCCTGAGCCTCCTTTTCTCCAGGCTGAGCCCCTTCCCAGCTCCCTCAGCCTCTCTTGTGCTCCAGCCCCTTCCCCACGTTGCTGCTGCCACCACCCAGGGGGTGCTGAGCAGTGCCCGTGCCCCACACTGGTGTCCTCCTCGTGTGGGGCAGCACCTTTCCCTACCCAGGCTCAACCCAATGCCCTCAGAGAAGCGTGTGAGCTCCTGCATCCCTCAAACACACGGGGAAATGGGCTGGTCCTTTCTAGGTGGGAAAGGGAGGGCTGGCATCTGTGTGGCTCAGACAGGATCAGGAAGGTGAGGATGGGCCAGATCCTGCTCTCTCACCTGGTAGGCACCAGGGGAGCCAGAGTGGGGCTGCCAGCCAGCAGGGCTGAAACACCAGGAACACCCCAGGAACATCCCAGGAACGTCCCAGGCTTCCAGGAGCAGAGTGCTGGGACAAGACACGCAGCACAAAGGGTCCCCTTGTGTCTATTTTGGAGGTTTTATAGGTGCTGGAGGAGTATGGAAAAGGGCAGAGCCAGGAGCAGAGTGACCTAATCCCACAGAGCTGGCATGGGCAGCCCAGCTCCGAAATGTGGCCCTGAAGGAACCCAGGAGCCGAGGAGTCACTTTTTCCTTGCTGGGGCTGCTGATACAAACAGCCTGAGGAGGCAGGGTGGTGGCCTGAGCTCTCACCTAGGCTGCTATCTCCCACTAGACTCAATTCCATAGCACAATTCACCTGCAAATCAGGTGCCCATGGTTCTGCTGGGCAAGGGTCTGGGTGTCCTCCTAGAGCTGCTGGGCACTGTGCAAGGATCTCAGCAGATCTCACTGTGCCAGGGCATTCTGTGAGCTGCTCAGGGGGCTGTGCTGGAAGCAAGGGGCTTTAAAATGCAAAAGTCACGTACAACACCTCTGTTTAACTGCAGGGGCTCCTCTTCCGTGGGCTTCTCAAAGGAGCCATCTGCAAGGGAAAAACATTGTCCTGGAGGATGCTGTGGGCTGAATGGAGCTTTGCCCTCTGTGGCTGAAAGCAGCTCTCCTCCACGTGCTGGCCAGCCTGGCACTCTGGAGAGACAGGAGCTTTGCACATGCAATTCCTGTTACCCAAGGAAAACCCCAGCCTTGCACATGCAATTCATGTTATCCAAGGAAAACCCAAGCCTTGCACATGCAATTATCATGTTACCCAAGGAAAACCCAAGCCTTGCACATGCAATTCCTGTTACCCAAGGAAAACCCAAGCCTTGCACATGCAATTCATGTTACCCAAGGAAAACCCCAGCCTTGCACATGCAATTCATGTTACCCAAGGAAAACCCAAGCCTTTCACATGCAATTATCATGTTACCCAAGGAAAACCCAAGCCTTGCACATGCAATTCCTATTATCCAAGGAAAATCCTTATGCTTCCTGGTGCAACCAAGAGATAGCAAGCAGCCTGATTTACAGCCCAGGCTTCCAAGCTCCTGCCAGAGTGGCTGAGATGGCTCCTGCTGCCAGCTGGAGTGTGCCAGCCCTCACTCCCAGCCCCGTTACCTTTGCAGACCTGGCAGCAGGAATCTGGCACGCTGAAGGGAGAGGAGCACAGCAGCTCGGGGCAGGTCACCAAGCCACAGTAAATCTGGCCTTCCTAGGAGGGCAGGAGGGAGAAACACACTGTCAGCCTTATGAAGGGCTGTATGTGCCCCACGTAGGTCCCTTCCCACCCAAACCATCCCAGGATTTTATGAGTCCATGACCAAAAGCCCCCTGGTAATCCATCCTGCAATGCCACCAATCATCCTTGCAGTGCCACCAATCATCCAGCACCTGCTGGCAGCTGGAGTCTGTCCCTGCTGCGCTGTCTGTCCGTCCTGTAGGGCTGTGTCCTCTGTTCCATGGATTGCACACTGCTCTTCCCCAAAAAGGGCAGGCACCATGAGTGCTGCCAGGCTGGAACAGCCCCCACACACCTCTCAGCTCTGCAGAACAGCCCCCAGGAAGTTTTTCTTGGCATCTGCCAGGAAAAGGACCCAGAGGAGAGGGGTGGAAGTGGGAAGCAGGATTCTGAGCCCAGATTCAGGTCCACACCAAAGTTCTGACCTCCCTCTCTCTCGGTTAATTCCACAGCACCAGGGCCAAGCACACAGAGGTGCAGGGATAGGCCTAAGTGGATCATTTGGAAAATACCATTGCTGCAGGTGATTCAAGCTGAAAACCACAGGTTGAGGCCAGCCTTGACCTTTGTGCATCCCAGTGCCACCTCAGGCAGTGATCTGCACCAGTTTGTGGCAGGAATAAGTTTTTGCTACTTTTCCAAAGGGTAAAAAAGGATGCTCAGCAGCCAGAGCTCGACAGCAAGGTCATCTCCCTGCAGCAATTCTCTCTGGGGTATCCTATCCACAAGCCAAGCAAGACCAAGAGGTCAGCCAAGGATATCCTTAGAAAACCAAACCACAGCTGCTTCTCCTCCCATCAGGAAGCCAAACTGCTGTGCGAGGAGCATGAAGGGGATGAGGGGAGTTTGGTGGGTGACAGCATCTGGCAGATCCTGCTCTGCAGCCGGGGAATCCACACCTGCCTCTCCCTTCCTCCTCCTCCTCCTCCTCCTCCTCCTGCCCAGCAGCTCGCAGCAGTGCCCTGCCCCAAGAGCCAGTGCCCCAAAAAGCAGGATTTATCCCAGGGGCTCTGCTCTCGGGGCAGTTCCCAAAGAGGGTTAGACCAGCTGTTCACGCAGCTGTTCCAGCAGCTGACAGCATCGGACACAGCCCGGGGACATCCCCCCAGTGAAGGCTCCACAGCCAGCCCTTTATTTTCCCCTTTGTACCCGAGGCACTGCCCTGACAAATGCACGGAGTGACACCCAGAGGGACAAGGGGCCCACGGGTTCCTGGGGACAGTGGCACAGGGAGCTGGATCGGAGGGCTCGTTCAGGTGTCTCACATCACCTAGCTGGGGTTCTTACAAGAGGAACCAGCCTCCTCAAAGGCTGCATCACTCCCACACGTCAGTCACTCCTCTTGCCACCCCAGAGCTACCAGAGCAGCTATTCCAGCACCACAGGCAGTGGCTGGACAGGTTACAGCCGATGCAGCCCCTGTGGGTGATGACAGAGGGAGGTGCCCTAGGGGCTCTTTTGCCCCTTCTTGATGTGCTGGCACCAAAGAGGGGGCACAGAGCGCCGCAGCGAGGGCTGTGAGCCCCGGAGGAGGATGAGGAGGATGAGGAGGATGAGATGAGGCTTACGGAGCAGCTGCACTGCACACACTGGTTGGGCTGGCGGCCGGGGAACAGCTCACTGCCGCTGAACATCTCTCCCTGCTGGAACGTGGTCCCGTTGTAGCGGCACGACCTGGCGGGCGCCCGCAGCCCAGACGGGGACGGGGGCTCTGCAAAAGGGCAGGGGAAGAAAGGAGCAGGGTCACAGCCAGCCCACCCCAAAGGGACCCTTCACACCCCACCGGCACCCTCAAGTGTCAGAGCAATGCATGGCTGAAGGGTCTGAAAGGTTTTTGAGGATGCCCTGACTGCCCTGAGCTCAGCACACGGGGAAAACCTGGAAGCCTGACCTCACAAAGCTCTTAACAAAATCCTTGGGTTTTCCCCTCCCCTGGTTGTAACCATCACCAGATTCAGATGGAGTCGGGTAAAAAGGGATTGTCTCATGGGCAACTAGCAAAAAAAAGAAAATTAATGAGGTTTTTTCCTATTTTTTTCTCTAGTTTCTCAAATCAGTGGTGGTTTCTGACTAGCTCTGCCAGCACTCAGGTAGGGAAAGTTTTGGGACTAAATCTTGAGGTGACGTCTTTATTCTCACCATATTGAGGTGAAATTAGGCAATCAGTAATGGTAAGGCAGAAAAAGTTTTGGGGCTAAAACTTGAGCTAGTCTCCAGTGCAGAGAAGGAAGTTGTTAAAAAACTGTAATTTTTTTTCCCTAAAAATTTTTCTAAATTTTTTTTTTTTTTAAATCCAAGTCACTCAGCTGGCAAACGATCAGAACAAATTGCCAGCTCCTGTTTTGGCCCAGAAGTGTGAACTGACATTTTGTCCCTACACAGCTCTTGGGATGGGGGGTGAGGGAAGAAGGTGATCTGGCAGAGAGCCCTTTTCCATCGAAATGGGATTTTTGGAGGGACAAAGCAGCCAGGGCTGGGTGTCACCGCCCTGTGGGAGCGTGGCCACCCTGTCCCCCTGCCCCGAGGGATGCCCACGCACCGGGACAGCGCGGGCAGCACTGCTGGGGCTCCGTGACGGGGCTGGCACACGGCAGCGCCGGGCACTGGATCCGGGAGCACCTGATGCTGGTGTTCTGCAGACAGACAGACAGACAGACAGACGGGGGTCGGTTAGTTCACAGGGAATGTTCAGCCCACGGTTCAGCCCTGCAGGAGGTGGGACACGCTGTCACAAATCGTGTACCACAAATTGTGCAGGCTGTGGCTTAGCAGGGGTGGCTCCAGGCCTGCCTTGGTCCCTCACCCATCACCCCAGAGCAGCCCTCGGCCGCCTCCACCCTCAGCCCACCAGGGCTCCAGAACCACGGAATCACAGAATGGTTCAGCTGTGAAGGAGCCTTCGAGGTCTTGTTCCACCTCCTGTTGTGAGCAGGGGCACCTTGCACCATCCCAGTGTGCTCCAGCCTGGCCTGGAACACCCCCAGGGATCCAGGGGCTGCCACGGCACCTGTGCCAGGGCACCTGTGCCAGGGCCTGCCACCCTCACAGGGAACAGCTTCTTGTGAGCATATCAGTCTAAATCCCCTCTCTGCTAGTTTAGAACCCTTCCCAGGCCCATCATTATCTGCCTGACTAAAAAAATAACTCTTCTGATCAAATGAGACAGCGGGACCCATCTGCTTCAAAGCTGCCGCGCAAAGCCCCAGTGCAGCAGCAGCAGTAGCAGCACCATTATCAGCAACATCATCATTATTATTAGCATTAGCAGCAGCATTAGCATTAGCATTATTAGCTTCTTTATTATTAGCATTATAGTAGAAAATTCTGAGACCTTTTTTCTACTTGCCACATTGGCAGGCTTGTTTGCCTGTGCTATCTTCCTGCTTAGTAAAAACATCTTCTTATTTGAAGTAAATTTATCCTTTGCTCTAAGTCATAAAAACCCCTTCTAACTTACAAATCCTTTGCCTTCTTGGTTATCCAGTAAGACTGGCTCAGCAATTCTTTTCCTCTATATCAAAACTTACTTCCATCTCTATTCCTTCACCAGACTCTGCATTTAAAAATCTTTCTGCCAAGCATACGTATATGTGAGACTTTCTTGTCAAACTTTCATCCTTCCCAACAAGCATCATCATCATCATCATCATCATCATCATCATCATCATCATCATTATTATTATTATTATTATTATTATTATTATTATTATTATCATCATCATTGGTGGTGGTGGTGGTGGTCGTGGTGGTGTTAGCAGCAGAATTAGCAGCAGAATTAGCATTAGCAGCAGCATTAGCAGTAGCAATAGGAGCATTTGCAGCAACATTATTATTATATCATTATTATTATTATTATTAGCATTAGCAGCATTAGCAGCATTAGCAGCAACATTATTATTGCTATTATTATCATTATCGGTATTATTATTATTAGCAGCAGCATTAGCATCATTATTATCAGCATTATTGTTCATGCTATTATTATTGTTATTATTGTCATTGTTATTAGCAGTATTATTATTATCAGCATTATTGTTATTATTAGCATTACTGTTAATATTGTTGTTGGGTATTGTTTTTATGATTATTAGCAGCATTAGCACCATTAGCACCATTAGCAGCAACATTATTATTGCTATTATTATCATTATCGGTATTATTATTATTATTATTATTAGCAGCATTAGCATCATTATTATCAGCATTATTGTTATTATTAGCATTATTGTTAATATTGTTGTTGGGTATTATTATGATTATTAGCAGCATTAGCAGCATTAGCAGCAACATTATTATTATTATTATCATTATCAGTATTATTATTATTATTAGCAGCACTAGCATCATTATTATCAGCATTATTTTTCATGTTATTATTGTTATTATTGTCATTGTTATTATTATTATTATTATTATTATTATTATTATTATTATTATTATTATTATCAGCATTATTGTTATTATTAGCATTACTGTTAATATTGTTGTTGGGTATTATTATTATGATTATTATCAGCATTAGCAGCAACATTATTATTGTTATTATTGTTATTATTATTATCAGCATTAGCATCATTATTATTATCAGCATTATTGTTAGCATTATTGTTAGCATTATTATTATCAGCATTATTGTTAGCATTATTGTTAGCATTATTATTATTATTATCAGCATTATGGTTAGCATTATGGTTAGCATTATTGTTAGCATTATTATTATTATTATCAGCATTATGGTTAGCATTATTGTCAGCATTATTGTTATCATCATCAGCGTTATGGTTGTGCTTGTGGTTAGTGCCGTTACTGTTGTTTTTATCACGGTTATGGTTATCGGCGCGCCGAGCAGCCCGACGGGCAGCGCTGGAGCGCTGGCGGTGGCTGCCGGCCGCGGGCCCGGACGTGCCTCGGCGCAGCTGCAGCGGATGCAGTACATCAGCCCCTGCGGCTCCAGGTACGGGTGCCAGCTCTCCCCCGGGCTGTACTTCTTGCCGTTGAAGTCGCAGAACGCCTCCGGCCCTGCAAGCAACCGGGAGAGGCCAGGTGAGAACGCTCCTGTTCCTGTGTGAGAGCAAGGATGGCCTGCACCCCGTTCCCCACATCCCACCCACCAAACCCCGATTTTGGTTTTGTTCCACCCCGGTTTTATTTTATTTTCATGCATTTTTTTACCCTGGGACCTATCTGACCCGAATGGCAGCCCCTCTGAGCAAACTGGACTCCCTTTGCAAGAAAGGGACAGAATGCGTGGGTTTGAGGCAGGACATAGAGTTTTCACTCTGAAACAGAAATGCTCACTGCAAGATGGATCCACAAAGGTCTCTATAGGTCCTCTCTTTGGTTTTGAGCCTCTCCTGGATGGCTTTAGGCACCTGATTCCCCAAGCTGCACCTTCACAGGTGGTGAGCACCAGCTGTCCAGGCTGGCTGGGCCAGGCACAGCACATGTGGGGGTTTGCAGTGGCTTTGGGGGTTTCCACAGGGACAGGCAGAGGTGTTGTCCTTCCTTTTCCCTGATCAGGGCTTCACATTGTCCCCATAGCTTTTGAGAGTCAGCAACTCCCTGCTCCTGGCCACGAGCTTACAGCAAACTACACAGAACTGGTGAGCATGTGGCTTGAGTATGAGGAAACCCAGAGGAGAGAGAAAAAACCAAACCAAACCAAAACACAACAAAATACAAAAAAAATCTAAACAAAAAAAATCATGGTTTGCAAAAGGGTGAGAATATGACTTCATCTCTCCCTGCTTGCAGCATCCCCATGAATTATGCTGAGGGTGAAGAAATGGAGCTGCCTTGGTGTGACGCTCAGCTCGCAGCTCCCATGCCAGTTGGCTGCTTCCTGCAAGCATTTAATCACAAGTGGAGCCCTGGTTTGGGTCCAGCCCTCGAAAGCAGCCTGATTCATGTCTGCAGAGGGCCTGCTGGTAGAATTAAAGCTGACTGGCAGGGCTGGGCAGCAGGAGACACTTGTTGGCATCTCTGCAGTGCTGGGGTTTTGGCAAGAGGTGCCAGCGTGCTTGGGCACGAGCAGGGTGGGGATGGATGATGGATGGATGGATGGATGGATGGATGGATGGATGGATGGATGGATGAGGCTTAAAAGCTGGAGGCTCTGGACCATTTTTTTCCCATGCCAGGCTAATAATTTAATGTTCAAAGGTCAAACTCTGGACATCATCCTAGTTCGCTTGGATGGAGTGAAAAGCCATTTGTGGCAGTGGATTCCTCCCGTGCTGGTCAGCAAGGTGAGCTCGCTTGCTGCACCTTCAGCAGCAGCACACTCAGAAAAGTCCTGTGGGTTTACTTCTCACTGGACCTAGGGCAGGTCAAGAAGCTTGGGGTAGCACCTTGTTGGTGGCTGGTGTCCGGAGCTGTTGAGGTGCATCCCGAGGAGATGCTCGCCCTTCTCGTGGTGTGAGAGGTGCAGCCAGGGTGGGTTTCTCCACACCCTTCAGTTTGTCACCCTGGACTGGTGTCTCTGGAGCACCTTGTGAAGATGCTGCTCAGAGCTTCTGCCACAGCCTCTGGTGAGGTTTCAATTTCCTGGTAGCTGGAAAGCTTCCCACAATACCTGTCCTGATGGCCCTTCCCACCCGAGCCACGTGGGGTTCTGTCATTTTGGGAGTGTTCTGAGCACTTTGATGGCTCAACAGGAGGCTGTGGGGTCTTGCTCATCTCCCCCCACTCCTCCTCTGCCGTTCCATCCCGAGGCTGGTCCTGCATCCCCCGATGGCACCTTGGGAGCTGTCCCTGGAGCAGGGCTCTCAGCTCCCAGAGCTTCTCTGGAGGTCACACACCTGCCAGCCAGGGCCGTGCTGGGCACCAGGGAGGCAGCCCGTGCAAAGCAGTTTTTAAGAGCAGCCATAAATAAAGTGTAAAGAGCACTGTCTGGTACACAGAGTCCAGGCGCTCCTGTGACAGCCTTGTATTTATGAAGGGCTTAAAATGCAGCTTTGCTGAGAAGGGACTGGCTAAAACACACAGGGCCCCTGACATGGGGCATCCTAAAGACTCTGCTCACATCCACATCAATTCCTGCACACTCGCCTCGCTCAGCTCTGGGCTGGAAATGCCTTCTTGGCACTTTGGGAGCCTGGAGAACTCTGTAGCTCTGAAAATGCAGCCTCAGGAAGCATCTCTGAGCTCTCCAGAGTGGAGAAGCCAGGCAGACAGGGTCCTGCTCCTTCCCAAGGGAATGCTCTGTTACCTATAGCAGGGTGTGCAGCCTCTCCCTTACCATGGGTAGCACTCACTTCCCATCCTGGGCCTTCCCATCTTGGAGCACCTTTCATCCCTGTTAGATCCAAACTTTTGGGACAGAGGGATCCCAGGAGCCCCCTTGTCTCCAGCAACCATGTTAAAAACAAATGAAGCAGCAGCTTCCAAGCTCCTGGGGAAATCCACTGCCCCGCGCTCTGCAGAGATGCTGGTGTCTAAATGCCTCCAGCCAAAACATCCTTGTGCTCACCCACTGCCCCTGAATCACTCAGAATGCAGCTCATTCGTCCCAGTAACCTGTGCCTCTGATACTTCTCTTCAGCTGGAGTGCAAATCCCCTAAAATAGCCTGTTTCTGTGGGCAAATTCTTCTTTCCTGACTTGCCTTCGAGCCTGGGCATTTCTGCTCCTCACCTATTTTTAGCCACGACTCTGTAGGTCCCTTGGCTGATGAGCCTGCTTGTAACTAATTTATTCCTGTCTTCACTCTCCCTGCACACCAGCCCTGAGGAGAGGGGGAGCCTGCAGAGGTGGGCACTGAGAGAAGCCCACGATTTGGTGATGACTCCACGATCTGGTGATGACTCTGCCACCCGAACCAGCCTGCCCGTGACCTCGGGGTGAGTCCTGGCCGAGCCCTCCTCGCGGTGAGATGAGCCCTGTGGCAAAGCTGGAGTGTTCCAGAGCTGGGACGCTGCTCCAGCCCTGCTCCAATCCCACAGCCACCAGCTCTCCATCAACGTTTCAGTCCTGCAAGCAGCCCTCCCAGAGTAGGCAAACCCTTCCTGCCCCCACCCAGCGCAGTTTATGCCCAGCTTAGGGGCTGTTAGCGCCTGCAAAGAGCAAACTCCTCACCTCAGACCTGCCTCACCTCCTGGATGTGCTCCCTGCCCTTCCCAGCCCTGCCCTGGCAGCCCGGCAGGGGCAGGGACCCGCACCCACACCCTGCTCCAGGGGCAGATGCTGTGTGCTGGGTTTGGATGAGCCCAGGGAAGGGAGAGAAGCTGAATTCACCCGGAGTTTGCTCCCCAGGGCTTTGCACAGCCCCGTCCATCCCTCCAGCACACCCCACGGTCGGGATGATGATCCAGCGCTCACATTTTGGGCCCTCACGCCAGGAGGATGGTTATTTGAGTGCCTAATGCACTGCTGGCAGCAGGCACGCTGTAAATCACCCTGACACAGCCACCGGCAGGCTCCGCTGGGATTCCAGGAGATTAGAGGGGGGAATAACTGCAGGGACACAGCAGGCAGGTCCTGCTCCAGTGTGCCTGGAGCCCTGGTGGCTCTGCGATGTCACCCAGCATCCAGTGGGAGCTTTGCCCAAGCCAAGCCCACCTCCCGGCCCAATTAACACATCCAGCACCCTCCAAAACTCCTGAGCACCTCTGGCCAAGTCCTTTGAGCCTTTCCGTGGAAGTGCCAAACCTCCCTTCCTTATCCCAACCCTTCCGTGCCTCTGCAGGGAGCAAAAGTGGGAGAGCCTGCGGGATGGACAAGGGAGGGACAAGGGATGGATCGGGAGGAGAGCCCCCAGCTTTGTTTGGGGCGGGAGAGGCGTTGTCGCTGTCCCGTCCCCCCTCGGCAGGAGAGGGCAGATGCCCTCGGGCAGGGTGGGATCCGTGCAGAGCAAGGTCTGTCAGACAGCCTCTGCCCTGTGGCATCCCCAGCCCATGGAGGGGGTCCCGGCCCTTCCTCCGGCCGCTGCCGGCCCCCGGCGCCCCCAGCCCCCTCACCAGCCCCGCAGAGCGGCCGGGGACAGCACGGGCATCGGGGACACCGCCATGCGTGTCCCCAGCCGGGCAGGACAGCAAACCCGGCCGGCTGCGCGTCCCGGGACATGCCGGGGCCATCCGGCACCGCCGTGCTCGGACACCTCCCCGTGCCCTCGGCCAAGCGCCCCGCAAACTCCCGGGGAGCCCGGCGCCGGGGAAACTGAGGCACGGAGGGAAGCAGCGCCGCGGGACAAGCGCGGGTAAGACTTACGAGCCCGGGCTCGGCTCTCGGAGGCGAAGAGGAGCAGGAGGCACCGGAGCAGGAAGGCGAGGGGACCCGCCCCGGGAAGCATCGCAGCCCGCTGCTGGTGCCCTGCGGCTCCGCTCCCGGTGCCCGGGGCGCGCTGCCCGGTGATGGCCCGGTGATGTCGCGGGGTCTGCGCTGAGGGCTTCGCTCCCGCTGCCGCTGCCCGGCGGTGTCGGTGCCCGGGGATGCCGGAGCCGGGGCTGTCGGTGCCCGGAGGTGTCGGTGCCCGGGGAAGCCGGTTCCCAGGGATGACTGTCGGTGCCCGGCAGTGCCGGTGCCCGGGGCTGTCGGTGCCCGGGGAAGCCGGTGCCGGCAGAGCTCCGGTGCCGGTGTCAGGGCTGTCGGTGCCCGGCGGTGCCGGCGCCCGGGGCTGCGGGTGCCCGGAGGTCGCGGTGCCGGTGCCGGCGGTGCCGGTGCCCGGGGGTGCCGGTGCCGGTGCCCGGCGGGGCTCGTCTCGCTCCGATCAAAGGCGCCTCCTTTAGGGAGAGCCGAGGAGTTGTTTGTTGGTATTAAAGGCGGAGATCGAAGCGGGAGGGGGGATCCGCAGGGTGGGTATTTTATAATTTTTTTTATTATTGTTATATTCCCACTTTTTTGGGGGGGTGTTTTAGGAAATTCCTCGGCGGCGGGAGGGAGGAGGGAGGGCGGGCGGGCGGGGAGGTGGTGCGGGAGCCGCAGGGTTAACCCCTGCAGCCCTGCAGCCCGGCCGGGGCTCTGCCGGGCCGGACCGCGCCCTGGGGGCTACGGACAAGAGGGGACATCGATGGGGTACATCATTAATGGGGTACCTCGTTAATGGGGTACGTCATTAATGGGGTATATCATTGATGGGGTACGTCATTGATGGGGTGCGTCATTGTTGGGTAGATCATTGATGGGGTACGTCATTAATAGGGTACATTGTTAATGGGGTACATCGTTAATGGGGTACATCATTAATAGGGTACATTGTTAATGGGGTACATCGTTAATGGGGTACATCATAACTGGGGCCAATCACCTCCCCAAAAGAGCCCCGGCTGTGCCCCTTCTCCCTGTCCAACACCACCTGGACACTGGGCAATCCCTCAGCTCCATAAAGCTCTTTAAATGCCCAGTGCAGCCCCTGCCTTCAGGAACCCCCGGCCCCAGACCCTCCTCCCAGCACCCCAGCAGTGCTCCCAGCCTGCTGCCATCCATCTCCGCAGGATGGGCATGAAACACCATCTCTTGGAACAGCACTGCTCATGCTGTCATCCCTGGAGAAGCCACCTGGCCTCCACACAACGCTGCTCCTGTTCCTGCTGCTCCCCAGGTCCTGCACACAGTGGCCCAGCTCGGGCTGGCAGCCCTTCTCTGCCTGTCTGTGGGCTCAGCTCTCTGCTCTCCAGAGCCTCCTGGAGAAGCTGGGCAGCATGGATGCTCCTTCAGCAGCACTGGATGCTCCTTCAGCAGCATGGATGCTCCCTCAGCAGCACTGGATGCTCCCTGGGCAGCACTGGATGCTCCCTCAGCAGCACTGGATGCTCCCTCAGCAGCACTGGATGCTCCCTCAGCAGCACTGGATGCTCCTTCAGCAGCTGTGTCCCCTCAGCCAGGCCACTTCCAGAATAAGCCAGGGTCACCAGTTTGTTATGAAGGTGAATTTCTGCCGCTTCCCCAGACCAGATTTTGTGTGGTTTTCCACCCATTCCTCCTGTTCCACCCTCACACCTTGCAGGGTGCTCAGAGCAAGACACTTCATCAGCACATGAAATCCAGGATTTAATAATAAACACCTTCCACCACTGGGAAGGCTTGGATGGAGCTCCCACACCTTGCAGGGTTCCTGGGTTTCTTCTTTGCAAACACCTACATATCTGCAACACCAGGTCTCTCTCTTCCCGTTATCTCCTTCAGCTTTCTCACAGCACCAGGAAGGAGCTGTCATCACCTGAGATCCCTCTGGTGACAGGAGATCTCCTCCATCAGCCAAATTGTTCATTTTGTTCTCTAATCCAAGCTCAGGATTGGGCTTTCCAGGCTGTGAGATGCCTGTGCCTGCTGCCATCCCACTCTGTGCCCAGAGCCCTTATCCTGGTCACACCAACCACTAGGCCCATTCCAAGGGCAGTTTCTGCAGAAAAAAAACTCTTCTTTCCATCCATCTCCTGATTTTGTCTCACTCTACCCCAGGCACCAGCACATGCCCCATGCTTGTAGGTGCCTGTTCCTGGAGCTGCATGCGAGGGAAATCTTTGGAATAAGAGAACTTTTAATATCCCTCTAAATCACCAGCTTTGTTATTTTCTCTTTAAGCTGCAAGCAAAAGAAATCAAGACCCATTTCTGTGCCCACGTGGGCTGGACATATATTCTGGGGAGAAAATGGGAAGCACTGAAAGCCATTGGTGAAAGCAGGTGAATCTTCAGCCCACCCTGACTCTGCCCCCAGGGATGCCTGTGACCCTCTGAGAGCACAGCCCAGTGTGCAGAGCAGGAGACAGGGCTGAGGCATTGCAGGGAGGGCCACAATCTGTTCTTGACTAGCTCCAACCACCATTTCACTGCCCTCTCCTGGGAATGGCCAGGGGATTCTGCTGAAGGACCAGGAATTCCTGGGATACTGGAGCCCAGAATCCAGGGACACTCTGCACATCAGCTGGCACCAGAGAGCACAAGCTGTGCTGTCCCATTCCAGGGCCAGCCACAAATGGGAATTCTTCTCACAAGGAAGAATTTCTTGCCTATGTCCATGCCTGCCCTCTGGCAGTGGGAGCCATTCCCTGTGTGCTGTCCCTGCAGGCCTTGTCCCCAGTCCCTCTGCAGCTCTCCTGGAGCCCCTTCAGGCCCTGCAAGGGCTCTGAGCTCTGCCTGGAGCCTTCTCCTCTCCAGGTGAGCACCCCCAGCTCTCCCAGCCTGGCTCCAGCCCTGGAGCAGCCCTGGAGCCTCCTCTGGGCTCTCTCCTGCAGCTCCAGGTGCTGCTGCTGCTGTTGGACCCAGAGATTAAAATTATCAGCACCTAAAGCCACTTGCCCTTTTTCACTGCTCCACTCATTCCCAGCTCTCTGCAAGTCTTTTGTAGCAATGCCCCTCTGTTTTCCCCTCATGCCCGGATGGAGATGTTTAGAGGGGTTTGGGTGAACAGCATGCTCCCTCCAGCTCCCACCAGGAAAAGCTGGGACCTCCTCTCCCAGCTCTTCCCTTGCACAGGGCTGGCTTGAAAAGCCCATTTGTAGCACAGGGCTGTGGGCAAGTTATGAAAGTGCTGAGAAAAACGGGGACACAAAGTCCAAGTCAATGGAGTTATTTTGTGGCTCTGCAGCAACAGCAGCAGCTGAATTCAGGACTGTAGATCCTGGCCCCACATCAGGGCTAAAACTTATGGCAAAGTTCAGGCAGGTCCCAAGTGCAGACCCAGGAAATAAAGGCCAGCCTTGTCAGGAGCAAGGTGCTGTGTTACATCTCTGTTGGGTCTCATAAAGAATACATTCACCCCTTGGCAAAACCAAGGCTCTTTATCTTCATCTGTGGAGGAATCTGTCTGACAGCTCAACACTGCCAACACCAATCCATCTGTGATCATGAACCAGGCTCCAAAATCCATGGCACTGGCCTGCAAATAATAACACATGGCTGTGCTCTGTTTGTCTTCTGGTTCCTGGGTCTTCAGGTCAAACTCACTTCATGTTCTATGGGAAATCAAGAGGACAAGACAATTCTCTTTTTTTTTTTTTTTTTTTTTTTAAATGAGAATGAAAACAGAATCTGGTGGTATTTGGAGCCACGAGCTGTGGCATGAGAGACCCTGAGGCAAACCATGACAGCCAGGTGGGAGCTGTGGGCAGCAGGAGGGCAGAGGGGGCTGCCTGAAGCACAGGAGGGATTCCTGCTCCAATTCCACAGTCTTCCTCCACTGTGACCATGTCCCTTATCTCTGGCCTGCACTTGGGGAGGAGTCACTGCATCCCACATCAGCCTGCCACAAGTCCAAGCTGTGTCAGATGGGCTTTAAATTGAATTACTTTCTCTGCCATATTCCACAGCAAAACTCACATTTTCCTTGTGCCACACCTTCACACAAGTTCCATCCTAAGCCTGAAGCCTCATGGGTTTCCTCTCCTCACCTGGGGATTCAAAAACTAGAGGATTAGTGGGATATGGAGAAGGAATTGTTCCCTGTGAGGGTGCACAGAGCAGCTGTGACTGCCCCTGGATCCCTGGAATGTCCAAGGCCAGGCTGGATGGGCTTGGAGCAGCCTGGGACCGTGGAAGGTGTCCCTGCCTACCTCAAGGAATGAGGTGAGTTTGATGTCCCTTCCAAGCCAGTCCAGCCCAGGATTCCCTGCTCCCATCCTCCGGGTGACCAATGCTGGTGACAGCTCCTCAGGGAGGTCTCCTGAAGGTGGCTGTGCTTGGGGATGCTCATCAGAGGGTTTCCCAAGGAGTCCCTTCCAATGTGTGACACTCCCCCGTGCCTGGGAGCTGGTGGGCTCCGAGCAGCTCTAGAGCCACACCTTTGGCAGGGTTTAAGGTTTAAGCCACTGACTGGTGAGGCTTAAGAAGGTAATTTACCAATGGAAGCACCTGGTCCAACCTGGAAAGGGAAACCTGGTCCCTTTTTCAGAGTCTGAGCATGTTTCCAAGCACAAACCCAAATAAATATCTGTAATCTGTGCAAACCACTGGCACAGAGAAGAGGACAGTGGTAAGAGATCCTCCTCCAGGGACAGAGATCAGCAACCAAGCAAGAGGCAGGGGGGAGAAAGGCAGGGCTGGATAAAGCAAGGGGGAAGGACAGAGAGGGAAAATGGGAGAGCACAGTGTGTATGCACCGTGACCCGTCCCACCTGCACCCCATGGAAGGTGGGCAAGAGAAACGGCGGTGCCAGAGCCCTGCCAGCTCCTCGGGAGAGGTGAGCAGCAGGGAAACGCTCCCAGCAGGCTGGGCAAGGCTGAGCTCTTGGCTGGGGACGGCAGGGTTTGAGGCTGGAGCCTTGCACGGGCTTAGGATTCCCTCTGCAGGCCAGCCCCGAGCTCGGCACATCCCGAGCTGCAGAGCCACGGAGGGGTTCGGGCTGAAGGGACCTCAGGGCCCCACCAGTGCCACCCCTGCCGTGGCAGGGACACCTCCACTGGCCCAGGTGTTCCAGGTCCTGTCCAGCCTGGCCTGGGACGCTTCCAGGGATCCAGGGGCAGCCACAGCTCCCCTGGGCACCCTGGGCCATCTCTTTATGGCTCTTGTTGTCAAATATTCCTTCCCAGTGTTCCGTTTAACCCTGCCCTCTGGCCGTGTAAAACCGCTGCCCCTCGAGGGGGTTTGGGTCGGAGGACACGCTGGAGACACAGAAACCAAGGCTGGATGTGCAGGAGCAATTTGGGAGCGCAGCTGGCAGAGATCCCTTCCGAAATCTCAGAGCCTGGGACTCTGCAGAGCCCTGCACAGCTCCTTGTCCTGCAGGTGGCCTTGGTGGGGAGGTGACCCCTGGTCCCATGTTCTCTGTCCTTCCCTGAGGGCTCCCCAGTGCCCAGCTCCTGGTCCAGGCTGATCCTGGGAGCAGCAGCTCTGTTGGGAACTCAGGAATAGCACACACTGCCTCTGACTGTGGCCAGCAGCAGCAGCAGCAGCGTCTACGGGACAGACACACAGACTGCTGGACATGGGCCAGGCCCAAACCGCTGCCATAACTCATCTCAGTAAAGCCAGCACGAGCTTTTTGTTTCACGAGAAGCAACTTTTTTGTCAACTGGCACTTGATGGAGCCCACAACAGCAGGGATCCACATGCTGGTATCCTTTTAGTCATTCAACAGCCAGAGACAACTAAAGATAGACGTGTGGGTGAGATGGAAAGTTAATGATATCCCCCAGCAAGCTCCTGGCACTGGTGCAGAGGCTGT